TATCCGTTAAAAATGTAAGGGAAATTTATTAAAACATTGTTATTAGTAATATCAATTTAATATTAATAATAAATAATAATAAATATTTTAGGACACATTTTTACACAACATTCTCTAGTCCCAAACTAAGCAAAGCTTGTACTATGGGTACTAGGAAACTGATAAACAAATTTAAACTTACTTTTCTTTTGTAAATAAATACACATTATGCATATATAAACATAAACACCCAGACACTAGAAAAACACTATGTTCATCACACAATATTTTTCCAGGGATCGAACCCACACCCTCTGGCGCAGGAGGCAGGTACACTACCCACAACGCCATTCGGGTCGTCTTTTCATTTAATATTTTATTAACAATATTTAGCTAATAGTCTGCTACTAAAGTTTTGTCAATTTTATATAGTTAGTATAAAGTTTTGTCGTTGCATTATTAATGTTACGGACATTTGTATAGTTGAAAGAATTACATTTTGAAAACGTTTGTTTGTACAATAAAGAATAAAACATAATTATGGAAAAAACAAGAAAGAGACGAATCTATCGACATATCATTAACATAGGGACGCAGATAATTATGTAAATTTAGATGGAACACATAACCCTCCTGTTTTGGTTTCGCCACAGTCGAGTAATTGTGAATGAACGTTTTAATATATAAGTTTTGTAGGCCGAAAAGCAGTTAGACCAAATATTTTTTTTAATGAAACCGTAAAATATATTATTTAAAACACCTAGGTTAGGTACATATAATAGTTCTTTAAGTTACGTCACAAGTTTTTAAATAAATTCTTAATGATAAATACCAATGAAAATAAAAAATAAGGAAAAGGTAACACTGGCACAATTTTTAAATATTTTGTCCATGGTCATTCCTGTAATTTATTATCTAATTTCGTTATGAATAACAAATTTAAATAAAAATATAAAAAATTATTTCTGCGTCTGTATTTTGAATAAATGCAAAAAAGAAAAATTGTTACTGTTAATTTTAAACTAATAATTAACCTCTACTCACCCGGGTATAAAACATCCGTTGGGCTGTGATAAATAATTCTGCCTTTCGCGCCCGCTGACATCAACCCACATGATTTTTCAAACTTCATTTAAGTTACGACGATATGGAGAAAACGACATCGTGCGATCCCGCCTTACGTGACGTCCATCCGCCAAGCGGCGGCCCCCGAGACTAGGTTAACGCGGAATGATCGAGCATCAACAACAACAGGCTACTCAGCTTTGCAGTCAACCCGGGGCGAAAGTTTGTAATTTTCAATGCGCGCGCAACAAAAATGTCCAAGAAAGGATTTTAAAACCGCTAATGGTCTACAGCAGAGTTACTCAAACTTTGTCTTCTAGACCTCTTACTATGTTTTACAATTTTGGCTAGACCCTCTACTTAGCTAGTAAGAATCGCAATTTTGAAAATTCATTGCCTTCAAATGTACTTTGATTGATTTCCACTTGTAGTGAGGTGTAGAAGAAGAAAGCAACCAAAAGAAATTACTTTGGTGAAATGCCTAGATCACCAAGAATAACGACGAAAAGCCAAGAATAGCGTTTCATCTTTCTTATTTTTTTCTGTGCAAATTAGGAGTGATCGGTGATTTTTACTTGGTAATTCTCAATGATTATTCAAATACGAGGTACATATTTACTTCTTTTTTATAGTGCTAATCTCTGCACTTAAGATTAAACATCAGTAGAAAAAGTACAAAAAGTTTGTAGCCGCTGTGGGAATCGAACCCACGTCTTCGGCATTCGCGGCCTGACACTTTAGCCACTAATTGGTGTAGTTAGATTGCTATTCTATAGACTGCTATCTCTAGACTGCTATCTCTTTCCTTATCATACGCTCTGTATCATCTGTCACATTCAATTTATAATTATTATGTTCTATAATGTAAAGGGGAACAATTTTTAAACACCACGCAATGTGCATGCGTCATCTTTATTAAAACTTCATTGGTAGTTCTAGTTTCGGTAACTTCTCATTATCGTTTAAAAATATTTGTCAGTACTGTAAAAAAGAATGTGTTGCTACTCTAGACTTTTTTACCTAAATTTTATAAATTTATAAATGAAACTTAAATTAAAACGAACCACATTAAAATAATACATGTTCATGCATTCTTTATTTTTTTTTTAAATCTAATCAATAAGTAAAACAAATACTTTTTATTGGCAAGGGTGAACCTAGTGCTTTGATGATAAATTTTCAACATGTGACGTCAATAGCGAATTTTAGTCTCAAATCTACTCGGTTAATGATTTCCAGTGTCCACTTGTCCAATTTGTTTCTTTTTTGTTGATAGAAGATAGGTTAGAAGATAGATTTTCCTGACTTAACTGAAATTCCCTTTTTGACTCCCTATATTTTTTCCAAGAAAAATAAAGGGCCTATAGTAACGCTATCTACCTATTCATATTTATTTGTTGACCTAGTATCTTAGCGACATCTAGTAAGGTTTCTCATTACTAAGCATGCGGAGTTGATATACGGAGAGTAAGAATAAGGAGACCAGTCTGTGTATTAAAAAGTGTCCGTGTCCGTAAATCGCATTCAATAGTGGCAGTATAAAGCAAAAGTAATTAAAGTCTTATCATTCATTATGAATCTCATTTTTAGAATAACGGTAAAAAAGGCAATTTTTTTTAATAAAATTATATTTCCTACAACTTTTATTTAAACATTTTTTTTAAGACCAACATTTTCACTGCAATATTCTTTACTATATTTATAACATTCATTGGAAATCAGACAAAAAATCTTGATGCTCATATATACTCATAATTTTTTTAATAATATTTTATGAGGGTGGCTTTAGGGGTTTTTGACTTTAGGGACAAATATTTTCAAGTGTTGGTAACACTACCCCTGGGAGTCGTTAAAGAGATATCATTGTGTAGCACTGGTCTACAGTGATGCACAATATTTTAGGATATAAAGATAGTTTTATAGGTACATGATATTTTAAGGGTATACCATAGGCTAAGTAATTGTTGCCACCTATCTACAACATCCGTGGGGTTGCAGTAGCTTTTTGTGTTCCCTGTTACCACAATCTTAATTTTTTAGGGAACTTTATAGTGCTGCACTACTATCCCTTACTATATGGTAAGAAGCAGCCGTAGATGGTAAACGCACTAGTTCTCGTAACCAGAATGGATAAGTAGCGTCAAACAGTTGTCGCAGAATCGGACGATATCTCGCTGCCCACCGTAGTTCGCGCTATGGTGGACAGCGAGAGGTCGTGGGATGCCGTTCTTGCATTTTGCAACGAGGACATAATCACCCGGAAGGAGGCCGTGGAGAGAGAAAGGGAGGCAACTGCCTCCTTGGAAATCTGGCCGCAGGAGGCTGGTGTACGCGCGCAACCTTCCCCCCTGATAGCAAGCCCCGGGGCGGCATATGTGGGACTAATTGCTGCCCTGCGGAGGGCTTGGGAGGGGTGCCGTGTTCATTGTACCGACACGGCACCATTTGGCTCGGCCGGGTGTCCAAACACCCGGTGAGAGGGTCGCGCCGAGGTTCGTGGAAGATTGCGTTTACGTGTTCCCGTATCTCGGGCAAGTGACAGCACAGGAGCAACGTAGGTTATACCCCTGCTGCCTACCCACAAGGCGGCAGGGAATCCATAAAGAATTTTTCCCACGTAAAAAAAAGATTCGGAGACGCTGACAACTATTTCATTGCGAATATACACTCGGACACGAGATACCCTAGTTATGTCGCGTCTAAAGGGCAAACAATTTTTCTCTCCGTCAAGCATAGTAAGTAGTTTCTTCAGTCCCTAGATGGTGGTGGACTGAAAAGAGATTTGAGTGCAAATCTCGAATGTTAGCGGTGCACTTTAAGTGAGAGCAGGCGCAGCACGAGGTGCAATCACGTAGACGTGACGTGTAAACATTTACTTGTCAGTCTTCCTTGGCACGATTTAAAAAAAGAGTGAATAGGATGGAGGATGCTATTTGAGTGAGGATTTGCAATGAGAAAACAACATCGCAACCGGGATCACGGTTTCAGTGGAAGCTTAATTTGGAGATTGTGGGGACACACGAACCATCGAGTCCTTCCACCCGTTCGCCAATTGACGAGATGGTGACTTCATCGGATTAATCACAGTTGGTGGGACAGCCTTTCATGTTTGGCTTGCACGCTACTTGGGCTCACTACTAGGAATCCGTGAGATGAGTCATGAGTCCTTTATCGACCTGTTCTATGCCTGTGAGAATTGTGGCACTAGTTTTTCGCACACGAAGCCTCGTTCCTTTACTATATACGCAAGGATCACCTAAATTTCGCATATACATGACGGGTACACCTTATTTCATCTGTAGCTTATGTAACCTGACAATTCTAGAGCATTGAGGAACTTGATATGGTATGAGATGCTCTGTTCTGTATCCACACTATGTACATTGACAAATACTCTGTTACATCCCCCGCTACCTCACTCAATATATCGGCGTTTATTTTATTTACAACATGATTTTTCAAAGAGTTGATGACTTGAGGCCTTGAGGCTTACTTTAATTTTGACGGCAGGTTTCCCTTTTTGAATAACTGGTGACGTTTAGCGGAAGTCAGTAAAAGATGTTAATTCGGGATAAAAAGTAGTCATTCTCCTGACCAGATATATAAAAGTACTCTTTGATCCTGACCTAAAACTGTCAATTAAAAAATTCCATCTTTCTTAACCAAATTAAATTAATTTCTTTTTATGTATTAAAATTATATATCAGCAATGCTTCATAATAAATGTAATTTTTACTGTAACAAGTTATTAATCATTGATAACCGATGACCGTGGTTTATGTTTTGTCTTATCTACGTCGTATTCCATCTGGTGGTGACAGTTCAGTCAGTTCATTACACTTCAATATTTTTTATCTGTGTAAATTGTTGTGAGTCAGTCTTTTCATCGGCGTTCTACGTTAATTTTACAATATTCTGTCTTAAATTAATCATTAAACTTGTACAAATAATGTAAAATGGCCATAAATTTAGAGAAGCATCGAGAAGCATTAATCGCTGCGTGGAAGGAAGTATTGGATGAAAAATCTGACATCAACTGGTAAGTTTCATTTTCTCACTTCGACCTACATCCTGGGTAAATCGTTTGATTTAGTTATTTAATTTAGCCAACCACGAAATAGTAAGGAGTATAATTTCCCACTCAATGCTTAAAAATAGTTTTTACAAACAGCATTCACAGTACAATTTCTCTTATAGTAATTACATTTTATAATTAGTATGGATTTAGAATGTGAAGTATGTTAATTGTTCATTTGTGCTTAGTGTAAATAGTTTTTTTCATCATAGGGAAGTTATTATTCTACTTTGCAACATTACTTATATCACAACTAAAATTTAACTAAGATTTATAAATCAAACTTATAGTTCCTGTTCTCTTTCTTAAGAAACTTATTAGACTTTTTATTATCTTTATCACCTTATCTGATGAATTTTTGCGGTAATTCAATAAAATTAATATACATGAGCTATGAAACTTACAATAAATTTATTACTAAATAATGTATAAGTTTTATTTTACCTTCTTTCATGTATAGTGGAAACGACTGTTTAATTTGTTAGGCTTTCTGATAATCGAACATATAATGAAAGTGGTTTGTTGTTGCACATACATATAATTGCATTACACATAATTCTAGGTGTTTATTTTATACAACAACAAAAATTAGACCTGTGAAAAAAAAAAACAATGTCCATTTAGAAATTATTAAGAGATACATTTTGAAACATACTATGTATGCACCTATTTATGTACAAAAAAATTTTCTTAAATTATATACATAGTAAAATCCTGCAACCTTAATGATGAAAATTAATATTCAGATTAATTATGGGTTAAAATATTTGGTATTTATAATTTCACATTAGACACTTTCTCTTTTCATAGCTGCTTTATTAGGAGTTCATTTCAGTTCTAATAAATTCACACTACTGTCACCATTCACTGTTTGTTTCTTGAAGTATTTGAGACCTGTTTTCATGCCCAGGGCCATTTTCTTGTTTTCCATCTTGTGTTTTCTGGTAATCAGGATAATTTTTTTGTAAATAAAATATGCATAATTCATAAAATAGTATACAATGACCTAACAATGAATTGTAGTAAAGTAGAAGTCTCTATTTATTTTTGTCTTGTAAAGTGATGGTATGGCAAAAACCATGTACCATCATCTGAATGACTTATGCTTTGTCATTTCTTTGTCTTAAAAAAATAAAGCAGTAAGTGTGAGCAAACTTTATATCATGAGATAAAATACAAAAATGTAAATCTTATCTCTATCACACTTAGATAATAGAAAACCATAACATGATATGGGATTTAGTACTTAGAAATATCAAATATGTATATTATGATAAAAAGTTAAGAGATTATTAGTTTTTGAAAAAAGAAATTATCTTGTTTTTTCTTTTTGTTTTATTACCCAAAGGCCAAATGCGGGAAATGTTTTTCAAACATATGTATGTATGCTTGTTTTATTCATTGACTTGCTCTACAGCCTAAACCTTTTGATGGATTTCAATTTACAATGTGGAATTTTGTGCGAGTGACATGGGTATAAAATTTCAGTATGGTGGTCTTAAAAAAATTGATGAATAATAATTTATTTGTAATTTAATGCAATCAGTTTTTTTTCATTGATAATAATTCTTGTACACATTTTTGTTTACTACGTATTATCAAAGAAAGATGCTCTATACTAAAAAATAACCACTGTCAAATATTATAATCTTCATGATATTCATATTGAGTGAAGTTTTGTACTTATCATTGTGACACGCTGTTTAATCAATTGATGAGGCACTTCCCTCCATATCACTTATAACGCCTACATCTTCCCTTTTTGAACTAAATGTGGTCTCCTTCACAGGATATGACAATGTTATCATATGCATAAAACCTTTTTCAAGTTACTACTAGATTGTGTTTTGTTCTTTATATTATTGTGACTGGCCGCCGATTCTCAGACCTTCCAAATCTTCATATATACAATTCTTCTGTATGTGTGTATATCACTACTTCTAAATGGCTGGACCGATTTAAATGAAATTTTGTGTGTGTCTTCAGGTTGATTCGAGGATGGCTTAGATTCACAATTCGGTCCACTGCAATTTTTTTGTTTATAAGATGTTGTGTTGATTTGAGATGTGTGTATGGGAAAAAGTCTGTCGGGTCCGCTAGTATACATATAAAATTTCATAAAATTCGATCAAGCCCTTTCGGACGAGTATAGCAACTGACACGAGAATTTTTTGTATACATTTTGTATAGATATTATTCATTGAAGATCCTAATCCTATTCCAAGCATTATGTCATAGGGCCTTGTTCGGCTACGATGGCTTGTCGAACGACCTGAAGTTCGTGAGCAAGGGCGATGGCGGCCTCGCGGAGCTGACAGACGACCTGAACAGCGGGAAGATCCAGTATGCGTTCCTCAAAGTGGACGTGCCCAATGGGAGCATATCGAAATACGTGCTCATCAACTGGCAGGTGAGATGCGAGCGGAGAGAGTATTTTCGTGGGTAGCGGGAACAGGATGACTCGGTGGTGCGGTAGCTAAGATGTTAGGTACGGTGTCGGGTGCCGTGGGTTCTAATCCCTCCATTAGGTTCCCTCGATTCACTTCCATCGGAGTGTTGGTTTTCATTGGTTGGTGGTGTCACATGAAAAAAAAGTGCTAATACCATTAAAACACAAGGAATGGTGGCATAAGGGCAGGAGGAAGGAGTTTGACCACAGGACCAGTTCAATTCAATTCAATTCAAATTTTAGTATAATGGCTCCATCAGGGAATAACTTGATGATTCTGCCAATGTCAAGGTTGAATAAAACAGTTAGTAAAGAATGAGATTAGCCGGTAATATTGGACTTTGTACGGTAGGTAGACTATTACGCGCATCCAGTTGAGTTACCTGAACAGAGGACAAACAATGGATTAGTGTATGAATAATTTGATATAATAAATTAGAACAGCTAAATGTTAAGGAGAATACATAGAACACATAATTAAGACAACAATACAATAGGGGAAAAATATAAGAAGTTATAGTCTTATGTTATTTAAACGGATAAATTTATCTAGGACTTTAATAAAAAGGGATTCAGTGAGGGTTAGAAGGAATGGAATATTGACAGGCCTGGGAAAATTATAAGGTAGGATATCATAAAGAGGAACTGTAAGATTTTGACAGGAAAAAAATAAATGTTCTAATGTGCCCTCTGCCAAGCCACATTGGCAAAGTGAGTGGTCACGTATATGCAGTTTAGCTAAAAACACTGGGGAGCAAACATGCAGGACCAGTTCTGTCGCTAGATTTTATCTTGACATTGCTCGTCATTCTTGACGTGTTGTCAGCTATGACCCCATTCACTAATTGTCGATTGCCTATCTCGTATAGTTCGTACTTCGTTGTTATATGGCCCTACCACAGTAAAGTTAGTTAACAGTAAAGGTAGTAACTTTACTGTGGTATAGTGAGTGAGTGAGGTAGCTGGGGCCTACTTTATTTAAAGGTGGCAATGCATTTGCAACCCTATGGGTGTTGCAAATGTCTATGGGCGACGGTTATCTCTTTACATGAGGTGAACCGCCAGCTCGTTTGCCTATATCGCACATAAAAATAAACCTGCGATTGTAGTCGGAGATAAACCGAAACCTAAAGTTAGAGAATTGCTTGCGCCCTGTGGTCTATACGTAATTGAGTCGGTCTTCTGTGAGGTCGTGATACTTAACCGGACATACCTGCCCATTCGGGCAACAATGAACATTAAACACTGTCGCATGGTCCTACCACAGTTACTCTCACACTTTAGCTTACGGTTAATCTCCGACTGCAATCGCATTTTCCGCTCGAAGAGGATCGAATAAAGATGATTTGATTTGACAAAATCATCTTTAAATTGTTTATAGTAAAATATGTGTAAAAAAATCTTTTCGCACTTTTTCTACATATTTTAATGTTCAATCTTAAGTGCAAAGATTAGCACTATAAACAATTTAAATTTCAAAAAAGCAATGGCGACATCTCTCGTTCGAATTATCGTTGTAAAACGATATTCGAAGTGTTTTGTATGCTGGAAAGGATATAACAATAGATGGCGCCAAGCATTGCTTCAAATGCTAAGAAAACAATGTGGAAGAATGCGTTAAGATTTTCGTCGGTCTGGTAATCGGCCGTTTAGCTCAGTGGCTATAGCGTCAGGTCGCGAATGCCGAAGACGTGGGTTCGATTCCCACAGCGGCGACAATCTTTTCGCACTTTTTCTACATATTTTAATAAAATCATCTTGCAGAATGCAGAAACATAGTAGATAGAGCAGAAACATGGTAGTAGATTTAATGTAATAATTGCTCCTACCACAATTTCTCACCCCGCCCCGGGTTGACTGGGAGAGAATGCCAAAAGGCATTAAATTCGCCCTTTATTAGTTGTATTTAAAGGTTGCAATAAAGTATAAATAAATAAGAAACAAATAGAGATTTCCAGTACAGATAAAAAGTACACACATATTTCGCCTAAATAGCATGATTTGCATGCTATTTAGGCAATTTCACAAACTATATGTTATCACAATAGGACCATCAAGTTAAGCGTTCGTCCGTCTATTGAATGCCTATGTAACAGGGCGAGGGCGCGCCTACCGTGCGCAAGGGCACGTGCGCGAACCACGTGAAGCACGTGGCGCAGTTCTTCGCCGGCTCGCACTTGACGATGCACGCAAGGACGGAGGACGACCTAGACGAGAGGGTCATCCTGGAGAAGCTGGCCAAGGCCGGCACCGCGTTCAACTTCAAAGCGGGCCGCCAGGGGGAGATGCCGCCCAGCGGTCCCGTAGGAACCGCATACAGGAAGGTGAACCCAGGTGAGTGTTGATCACGCGTAGCGATTTCGTAGCGACGTAGAACCATCACTTACGCAGCCCTGCTACGTATAAAAAGGTTAAGTAACATATAGAGGCAAATCCAACTTCGAGAAGGTCAGTCGACGAGTCCAGCTCGGTCTGGGCTGCGTTCGGGAAATTACGCAGCGTCTTTACGTCCAAAATACCACAGCCCTTAAAGACTAGTCTTTATTCAGTGCGTGCTACCAGCGATGACCTACGGTGCCGAGACGTGGTCTCTCACTTTGGGCCACATAAGGAAGCTGAGGGTCGCACAGCGACTTACGGAAAGGGTAATGCTTGGGGTTTCTCTACGAGATCGAATCAGAAATGAGGAGATCCCTAGAAGAACTAGTTATCTACATAGCAGAGCGAGTCAGCAGGCTGAAGTGGCGGTGGGCACATAGCTCGGATAACCTAGACGGACGACCTGTCAAAAATCGCAGGGCCGCGTTGGACGCAGGCCGCTACCGACCGGTCGAAGGGGAAGTCAATGGGGGAGGCCTTTGTTCATCAGTGGACGTCCTACGGCAGGTATGATGATGAACCTATACATGTCCTACCGCTGGACAAAGGCCTCCTCTGCACAGAGGGTATCAGGGCATAGTCTACCACGCGACCCCACTGCGGATTGGCGTACTTCACTTTTCTTCGATTTTTTTTTACGTTTTCCTTCTCCGCTGAGCGACTCGGTTCAATTTTATCCAATAGCGAGGCAACGTTTCATCTAAATAAAGAAAAACAAGAACTCGACAGCGACGCCGTCACGATATCGGTATGCGAATTCCTCGCGCGTGCAAACGCACCATTGTTTACCGAAAACGATCGCGCGTGAATACAACGTCGCTCAACTAGTGGTAGTGCTGTTCGCATTGCTGTCGCGACGACACGCGCGTCCGAACCTGTCGCGACGAGCCGCGGTAGTGCTGTTCATATTGCTGTCGCGACGACACGCGCAGCCGAACCTGTCGCGAGGAGCTGTGGTAGCGTTGTTCGCATTGCTGTCGTGACAACACGAGCGTCCGAACCTGTCGCGACCAGCCGCTGTAGTGCTGTTCGTATTGTTGTCGCGACGACACGCCGGTCCGATCCTGTCGCGACGAGCCGCGGTAGTGCTGTTCCCATTGTTGTCGCGAAGACACGCGCGCCGAAGCTCTCGCGAGGAGCTGTGATAGTGTTGTTGCTATTGTTGTCGCGACGACACTTGCATCCGAGCCTGTCGCGACAAGCTGGCCCATGGCGTTGAGTGGCGCGCGCCGGCCCTACGGGGCGGTACATCTCCGCGCGGTAGACCGCCAAGTGGACGATTGTCGGGTCGTGGACGAAATGGTCGAGGAAATCAGGCATCGGAAGAGCGCTTTACGGAGAGGTGCTTCGCAGTTTTATATGCGGTTGCGTGTGTGGTCGTCTGGCGGCCCCAATCTTACAGGAATCGTGGTCAAATTTTTGTAAAGTTGCCAAGCGATCGGGTGCCTCACCTGATGTTTATTGATTACCACTGCTCATGGATATCTGCAATGGCCGAGTGCTTGCAGATGCGTTGACAACCTTTAATGAAATATGGGCCCCGATTAGTCGATTACCTCATTCACAGGACCTCACAGAAAGTATCATACTTTCTGTGAGGTGAGTGCCACGGTACTGCCAGCATGGACATGCCCATTCGTGTCTACAGCAAAGAATTTTGCGTTACCCTGCCACAGTTAAAGCCAACCATCGAAGGGTATGGACCCCGGTTACCTCAATCGCCGGACGAGACGCAAGAGTACTTGCACTTCGTGCACCCATTTGTGCAACAGTGTCTCACAGTGAAAAGTGTATGAGTTTTTTCTCTTTGAGTCTCAGAATGTAAATTATCACCAATTTCTAAATCTGTCGAGCCGTGAAGAGGCCGTAAGGGCGTGACAAATCTTAAAGAGATCATAATACAGACTGACGAACGCGCTGGACGATTTGAATTATAGTAAACTAGTTGACCCGTGCGTAATTATAGCACAGTACTGTAAATCAACGAACGTTGATGTAGCTATGTGCAAATAATTATTTATCAGTGAAAGGTATCTTATTTTGAAGAATTACTGTAAAATGCAGACTGCATTTTGGTATCTTACGTTTAAATAATTTGTCAATAGATGTCGTCATTATACATTCTTATAAGAAGTATTTAAACAAAGGTTTTATGAACACCTCAAATTTATTCTATTTATATATTATTCGTCAATACCGGTAAATATTAATTTTAAAATGGCGTTTGAATCATTAAATCTGATGAAAAATTATGAATGTTATGGCGTTGCGACAAAAGAACGCCTTAAAAAATATGTGTAGAGACGTTTCCCCAAAGAAATTTTATTTATAGACTCGTCAAACGTCAACATTATTGCACTTAAAACAACTTACAACAATACAATTATACGGTATGCGTAGAAAGAGAAAACATCAGGCATCATACGCTATCTCTGTCCTTAGAAAGAGATGATGAGATGATTTGTGTTACACTTTATTCATTGCATGAATGGGCAAATATCTCGCTTATATGTTGCAAACAGATGTGAAACCTCTATAGTAATATGAATATATTAGAATTTCCCGCCATGTATATCGATAACGACATCTTCAAATTACGAGAAAAGCGGCTCTCATACTCGAACCAAGCGAAACAAAAATGTGGGAAGAATTAAAACTAGTTTCCATAATGACAAAGAAATTGTTTTAAATAAAAGAATTGTAATTAAAGCATAATATATTATTAAACGCTACATATATGTCATGTTTTAAACAAAATGTTATTATTATTGTCATTATCAATAATGTTTAGGACAGGCAAACGATTAATAAAACTTGTTTAAGTTTATAAAACAAAACCACCTTGCTTATAAATAGGAGCGTTGGTCAACAAACATGTTTACTTTAAAACGTTTTATTTCCATGATTGCAAATTGAACTATCGTGATATTGTGAATGCAGAAAGAAATATGCAATTTTAAATAATTTTAATTGTTTAGATTAACTCTTGCTGACAAATAACATGCGGAACTTGTTTGACAATAGTTTGCGGAACTTGTTTGACAATAGTTTGCGGAAATTGTTTGAATGTTTCACAATAGTTTCAATTTCTGGTAAGATGTTTGAACTATTTGTGTATAAAATGAGGCCATAAATTTCTTTTTTCAGTCCAAGAGATCAACTCAAAAGAGCGGGATCAGTTTTGGCTGAAAGAGGAGCAGGAAGAGAAGAAAAGAGTGGAAGCAGAGAGAAAGAGAAGGGAAGAGGTATGGTTTTTTCTTTATTATCCATTATCTCTCTAAGAAAGGGTGTAAGATGTATTATGTTCATTTAAATATGATAATTAAATCAGTACAATGGAAAAGGTAAAAATGTGAGCCTATTTAAAAAATGAATCTCAAGCTTGAATGTTATGAAGAGAAATTTGGTAGCACATTTTACAACCAAATAATGATTTTTCTGTTTTTTTTTATCTGCAGATTAAATAAGTATTTTATGTTCTATATTTCATATATTATTACTATTGCTTGTTTTGTAGGTTACTGTTCTCCTTAAAGTCTCAAGTTTGATCTCCTTAAGGACGCGTTTACGAATTCACGCGCTTCAATTTTAGGTACAGAGGCGTACTACTACACGTGCACGGCTCACGCACACAGCGACAAGCGCGAAGCAGCGAAACTTTATGTAACTGACGCAACTTGATACTTTTATTTAATTTGAAGTCATTTATTTTTTAAGCTTACGTTAAATTTGTTTTCAACAAGTTTTTAAACTGAATATTTTTTTATATATTTAGGTATAATTTATTAAATTTCATTTAAAAGCTCGTAGCTGTTGATAATTTGCGTTTTAATTATTATGTTTATAATTTAATTTTATGTTTTAATTAATTTTTATGAAGTAAACGAAGCTTGTTTTATACATGTTTGATTATGCGTGCGGTAGGTAGATAGCTTGATAGGTAGGTAATGGTAGGGTACGTAGGAAGGTAGCTATGTAGGCAGATAATTAGGTAAAACCCGCTAACGAATTGAGTAAAATACTTTGTATGGTATTCTGAATGCATTTTGCTGATTCAATAATATTCATGCTAAATGTTAAAAAAAATAATTTTCTGTAAATGAATTGGAAATAGCATGGCGTACGAAGCCGGGCTAGTATCTAGAAACTAAAAATGAAATAATAAAACGAAGGAAACAAACTAGTAAAAATTAAAAAAAAACATTTTTATAAAAAAAAAACCTGTCGCACTCGGCTCAGCTGGGGTAAAGCTATAGCATAGCATCTTTTATCAACTTATGCGATTATAATTATTTAATTATGCAGTATTTTTTTCTTTGATATTTATATTTATGTTAATAAATAATAATATTTTAATAATATAATAATTAATATATATATTATAATTAATAATATATAATTAACTAAGTCACGAACTACTAAGTCAGTCACTAAGCTCTGGATAGTTAAATTACAATATACTAACATTTTTAAACTTGTGATATCTTTCGAATGGAATGTCCGAATTTAATCATTCAAAAAGTTATATAAAGATATTGAAACTTAAATATAAAGTAATTTATTTTTATAAGAATTAATACCAAGATACAAATAAAGAGCCTTTTCTAGCGGCGGCATTTCAATCAAAATTTTAAAGTAAAAGAATACTTATTGTGGCATAACTATAATAGTTAGACATATACGGTCGCAACACTTTTTATAAATAATGATGTGTTCTGCAAATTCGTAGTACATTATTTTATACAATTATCAATAGTTTTAGCAGCGCACGCGATGCAAACAATATTTTAGGTAATTTTTGTACACTTTGGTTTACATTATTCAAGTTTTAGTAAGGATTCCTAGTTTTTTGAAAATTTTATATATCCTATGTCATCCGGGGATAATGTAGCTTCGAGACAGTGAAAGAAATTTTCAAATCTGTTCAGTGGTTTAGGAGCCTATTCAATGCATAAAAACAATCAAATCTTTCCTCTTGCGTGGTAGGCGGAGTGGGTGGTGTTAGGTTTTATTTTCGTTACGGAATTTATTGATTCGTTCGCCGCGCTCAAAGCCCGCGATAAAAGCTGTGCAATAGCTTAAAAAAATATTGTTTCATTTTTAATTTGACTCTTCCATGCTCTTCGCAGAACTGTCGCTATGTCGATCCTGGGTGGAGCAAGCCCGCGAGGCCAATTTATACCTCCGACACGAGGTTCTGGCTCCGCCTTTTGATGTTCACTCTAGGGATAGGGAAGACCACACGGAGTCGGGGTGCTCTGTGTCAGATCTTTGTGATTTTTCTTTATAGTTCTCTATCATTTAATTATTTTTGTTATCTATATTGAAGTAGTAGCCTGCTAAAATTTTATCGTTTTAGGCTTTGGCATCTGAAACAACATTTGAGTTATAAGAGGTATAAATGTTGTATGTGATAACTGTGCCATAAAAATAAGTCTTTGATAATTTAAGTTGAGACCCACTACATTTTTACATAACTATTTTTTTTTTCGTGTTTTGCCTATTTTAAAGACGTTCTTACTTATTTTAAATTAAGTATTATTTTAGGCAGAATCCATGATCATAAAAGTTGATCAGTGCGAAACACGACAAAACAATAAACGATAAATGGGGTCATAAACGTGAAACAAAAAGTTTGCCACATAGCTGTCGTTCGAAACTTTTGAAGTACATGTTTATTACACCTATTCATTGAAACATACAAAAAATGACCTTTTAGACATGCCTAATCTTACAATTTGCAAGTGTGCAAATTTGTTTTGTATTACTTGTATTTTTAATTATCCATACAACTTTTCTACATGTGGTGTACTTTTGGCCAACATTTGGCTGCATGGAAATAAGAATTTATAATAAAATACCAGATAGGTTCATAGGCCTCCCGGAGTATTTAAATTTAAACGAAAATTCTAAAATCTGTACACTGTCAAATTAGACATTTAAAATATTTAATCATGTCTAAGTAATGTAGAATGTTTATATTAAAATTCATTACTTTGACTTGTGATTTACTTTGACTTATATTTATACTCTATTGACTCATAATTATAATCTAAATTTCAATTTTTTTTTTATATTAACATGTTTCACAAATATTTATACACAGAATTGATGTAGAATACGTAGTTCCATATTTTAAATAACTTTTTTACTGTATTCTTACTGTATTCGTACCTTCATGCCAATACATCAATTTCAAAGGTAAGGTCTCAAAAAAACTCACAAAACAAGCCCAAACTCGACACACATAGCTCATCTCGTCTGTTAGTTCCAGTAGCAGTTCTCGAAGTACACCTTCAGGTCACTCCATCTAGTCAGAAGGCAAGATCTCACCATACCTAACAAAAGAAGCCCAAACTCGACACACATAGCTCATCTCGTCTGTTAGTTCCAGTAGCAGTTCTCAAAGTACACCTTCAGGTCACTCCATCTAGTCAGAAGGCGAGGTCTCACCATACCTAACAAAACAAGCCCAAACTCGACACACATAGCTCATCTCGTCTGTTAGTTCCAGTAGCAGTTCTCAAAGTACACCTTCAGGTCACTCCATCTAGTCAGAAGGCGAGGTCTCACCATACCTAACAAAACAAGCCCAAACTCGACACACATAGCTCATCTCGTCTGTTAGTTCCAGTAGCAGTTCTCAAGTACACCTTCAGGTCACTCCATCTAGTCAGAAGGCAAGGTCTCACCATACCTAACAAAACAAGCCCAAACTCGACACACATAGCTCATCTCGTCTGTTAGTTCCAGTAGCAGTTCTCGAAGTACACCTTCAGGTCACTCCATCTAGTCAGAAGGCAAGATCTCACCATACCTAACAAAAGAAGCCCAAACTCGACACACATAGCTCATCTCGTCTGTTAGTTCCAGTAGCAGTTCTCAAAGTACACCTTCAGGTCACTCCATCTAGTCAGAAGGCGAGGTCTCACCATACCTAACAAAACAAGCCCAAACTCGACACACATAGCTCATCTCGTCTGTTAGTTCCAGTAGCAGTTCTCGAAGTACACCTTCAGGTCACTCCATCTAGTCAGAAGGTGAGGTCTCACCATACCTAACAAAACAAGCCCAAACTCGACACACATAGCTCATCTCGTCTGTTAGTTCCAGTAGCAGTTCTCGAAGTACACCTTCAGGTCACTCCATCTAGTCAGAAGGCAAGATCTCACCATACCTAACAAAAGAAGCCCAAACTCGACACACATAGCTCATCTCGTCTGTTAGTTCCAGTAGCAGTTCTCGAAGTACACCTTCAGGTCACTCCATCTAGTCAGAAGGCAAGATCTCACCATACCTAACAAAAGAAGCCCAAACTCGACACACATAGCTCATCTCGTCTGTTAGTTCCAGTAGCAGTTCTCGAAGTACACCTTCAGGTCACTCCATCTAGTCAGAAGGCAAGATCTCACCATACCTAACAAAAGAAGCCCAAACTCGACACACATAGCTCATCTCGTCTGTTAGTTCCAGTAGCAGTTCTCGAAGTACACCTTCAGGTCACTCCATCTAGTCAGAAGGCAAGATCTCACCATACCTAACAAAAGAAGCCCAAACTCGACACACACATAGCTCATCTCGTCTGTTAGTTCCAGTAGCAGTTCTCGAAGTACACCTTCAGGTCACTCCATCTAGTCAGAAGGCAAGATCTCACCATACCTAACAAAAGAAGCCCAAACTCGACACACATAGCTCATCTCGTCTGTTAGTTCCAATAGCAGTTCTCGAAGTACACCTTCAGGTCACTCCATCTAGTCAGAAGGCAAGATCTCACCATACCTAACAAAAGAAGCCCAAACTCGACACACATAGCTCATCTCGTCTGTTAGTTCCAGTAGCAGTTCTCGAAGTACACCTTCAGGTCACTCCATCTAGTCAGAAGGCAAGATCTCACCATACCTAACAAAAGAAGCCCAAACTCGACACACATAGCTCATCTCGTCTGTTAGTTCCAGTAGCAGTTCTCGAAGTACACCTTCAGGTCACTCCATCTAGTCAGAAGGCAAGATCTCACCATACCTAACAAAAGAAGCCCAAACTCGACACACATAGCTCATCTCGTCTGTTAGTTCCAGTAGCAGTTCTCGAAGTACACCTTCAGGTCATTATCAAGTCCGTAACGAAATATGAATTTTTAACCCCTACTAATTTCTAGTAAAAATATGACAAAGTGTGAATTATAGTTTACTTTTGTCGTTCGTAGTCCGAAGTCCGAACATGATGTGTAAAGTATCAACTTTGTTACGACAAATATTTTGTATTCGTACAGCGATCTTTTTCCTCACGAGCTGCTGTTTATAAGCGACATAGTGACCACTCATGACGGCAGCCGAGCGCCGACTAATATTTCTTTAAATATTTTTGTGGAATAAATCAAAAAAGTGACCAGTAAAATAACCTTTATGTCAATCACTTAAGATTCACGCGTAAGATATAAATGTGAAAGAAATAGATTTTAATCTTTATTTTTTTCTGAAACTAATTTCAAATTTTGATACGTAATGTAGCTACCTTTTTGAGTTGAACATGTGTGCTTACATAAAATATTTTTAAATAAAAAAAAATATGTTATTAAATAAGAGAAAAATGTTCCTAAACCCAACAGAATATCGTCCATTTTGAGTGAAATGTCACGAAAATTCTCATTTACAATATTATAAACCAAAATTTTCTATTAAAAACTATCTACCATTTGAAGATGAAGGAGGGATCTATATGTGATAATTATTACTTACATTATATTCGTTTCGTTTTGCCGCAAAATGTACCTGAAAACCCCCTATTTTTGCAGATTCCGCGAGATTTCGCAAACACGCCCTTAAGTCTTTGAAGTCTTTTATGTCTTTTATTCAGTGTTGTGTTTAAATTGATTAAAGATCAGAATTATAATTGTTTTATTTATGTATCCAGTCAGTAAGCTTTAGTTTGAATAAATAAATAAATACTTTTCAGGAGAAGAGAAAAGCCGAAGAGGAAGTGAGAAGAAGAGACGAATTGGAAGCGGCTAGGAGAGCAAAAGCAGAGGCACTAAAGTATGTTTCTATTTTGTATATTTATCAATATTGGCAAAAAAAATGTTATCATAAGAGAAATAATTCCTTAGTTGCGGGTCGTTTCACAAACATGAAAATCATGGACACAATTTTTTTTTAAAAACATTGCCCTTTAGGATAGCATTATCAACTATCTATTAAACAACTATCTGTGGATAACACAAATTGAATTTTGGTCAGTCACTTAATATTATAATATGCTACAGTCTAGTCCACCATGTCAGCCCAAAGCCTGTTCCGTGACATGGACCAAAAAAAAGTTGGCGATCAGGCGATCACCTCATGTTAAGCGTTTACCTACGCCCATGGAAAACCATTTAAAAAGTGGGCCCCGGCTAACTGAATCGCCCATAGACGTAACGCGAAAGTTCACGCATCCACTTTTCGCCGCTCTAAGGATAAAGTAAATTAAAACGCGATGAAATCCGCGAAACGCACGGTCTGATTTGACACTAGATTGGCATCATTCGATTCCAGAGCGGAAGCGGAGGCGGGAGAGGGCGCGGGCGCGGAGGCGGAGGCGGGCGCGGGGGCGATGAGCGCTTCGGAGGCGCTCCGGAGGCAGCGGTCGGCGGAGGCGCGCCGCCTGATTGGAGCTTCCACGTCGGCGGCGCGCGCCCTCTTCCAGCAGAACCTGGCGCAGGGCCAGATGTCCGCACGGTCAGCGCCGCACACACGCCGACGAGTGCACATGTTGACATGTGCACATGCGCACGTGGCGCTTGGACATGTCAACATGTGCACTTTTTGATTTTGATGAATTACATGTATTTGTTGATAGTTGCATATGACTGTACACGTGTGTGCGAACATACAAATGTATGTACGAGTCAGTTAATGTAATAAGTATTTAAAAGCCAATTCAAGCTAAATTCCTAGTCTTTGGTTTAGGCATGCACTCAAAACTTTATCGATGAACTGTTTATTATGTTACATGTATATTATGAAAAGTGTTTCCTTTTCGGGGTGATGAGCAATTCTGCCTATGTAACTTGCTACATGGAAATCTCAGAAATGGATAACATATAATTTTGCCTAGTTATCATTTACCGCTCAGCCTGTGGGCCAAGGAAAACATCAGAAGGTGGTCATACCACTTGACCACTACCAACCACTGTCTATCATATTAAAAACAATCAACAAAACGAAAACAATATAACAATGATCTTCTATTATTTTCTATTTACTTGTCTTTGTCGGTTGTCTGATAAGGAGCACTTTCGCAGACTTCCACCATTATACGCTATTGTACTAAAAGTTTTTAAATAAATATACAAAAACGATCCCATCGCCGCCGCAGAACGAACTCCACGCCGGAGAAGCCGCTGCGCAGCTCCGTCATAGCTCAGCGGATAAACACCTTCACGCAGAGCGGCTCGGCCGCGTCGAGAACCGAACCCGCCACCCTCAAGCGGCCGAGCCCCGAGCCCGAGCAGCCGAAGACCAGCCCGCTCAAGAACATTGACAAGATCAAACTGAGCTTAGAGAGCCCGTCGCAGATACAGCACGAGCCGCTCATCGACCTCAGCCCCAGCGAGCCGGACAGCTTCACCGGCTTCGAGCGAGACGGCAACAGTAAAGGGCCGAGTGTCGGAGCGGGACAGAGCGAGCCGCCCAGCCTCGAGAGGGACGCCAACAGCCGCGGCCATAGTGCCGGAGCGGTTCAGAGCGAGCCGCCCAACCTCGAGAGGGACACCAACAGCCGCGACCCGAGTGTCGGAGCGGGACAGAGCGAGCCGCCCGGGCTCAGCAGCCCCGAGCGGGACGCCAACACTCGCGAGCCGAACGCCGGAGCGGGACAGAGCGAGCCGCTGATCAGGCAGAACATACTGGAGGACGACCTGTTCGACGCGTCGTACTGCAGCTCGAACGAGAACGACGACGAGGACAGCGACAACAAGTTCAGCACGATAAAGCGGTCGCCGTACACGAGGAGCGGCGAGCTCGGCCGCCAGGACACCGTCATCGAGAACGTCAACTACAAGAGGGAGAACGGAGCAACCCTCGAAGGTGGGCCAATTTTCAATGTCGATTGTACGATTTATTTATTTATTTATTTAGTAAGTAGCAACCCTCGAAGGTGAGGACCTTTTCAATGTCGATTGTACGATTTATTTATTTATTTATTTAGTAAGTAGCAACCCTCGAAGGTGAGGACCTTTTCAATGTCGATTGTACGATTTATTTATTTATTTATTTATTTATTTAGTATGTAGCAACCCTCGAAGGTGAGGACCTTTTCAATGTCGATTGTACGATTTATTTATTTATTTAGTCTTTATTGCATTTCCTTTAATACGAAACACAATTATTGTTCGTTGCCAGGATTAAATTGGTTACCAACAACTTTTTGATATTTTCCATTAATTCCAGTTATTTACATAAACCATTATCAATTGCATTTAATGACTATACACTAAAGAAGTATAACTTCTTATGTGCATACATAATTACACACATACTTTTTAAATTTATATTGGCTTAGTTCCTTCTAAAAGTGACTGACTAATAATTTATAGTAAAAAATAAACTATTTCACTTCAATTCTTGTATTGTTATTATAGCTTATTATGCTTGACAGTAAATACTGACTTTTTATAGTACAGATATTTAAATTATATCTTTTATTTAAGCAAACGTTACATTCTAAGCAAATATAAAAACATTTAATAACAAAACATACTTCAGATATTTATTAACTGTAATATATTTTTATTAGTTTATGCTACTTTGTTCAGAATTATAATAATTTAGGAAATGGTAACTGTATACAGGGAGGCTTTTCTAAGTGTATCCATTTTTTTAAATTAAATTCTAGACATATATAATGTATAACATTAAAAAAATGATAAATATTTAGAATCACTTGAAATTAATGAATTACATTCATTTTAAATTACAGATGTGTCACCGGAGGGTATGGATGAAGAGGGTACCATATATGAGGACTTGGATGATGACCCTGGCCTGACAGCAAGAGCACTGTATGATTACCAAGCAGGCAAGTGTCCAATGCTAATTTTGCTTTTAAGGTGGGATATACAAATAAGTTGCTACTTACGGGTTGCGCAGCAGAGGATTTTAAAAAAATGATTTAATATAAAATAATATTTAATGAAGGGTTGCAAAAGTTCCTTAACTACGTTTAATACTAATTTCTTAGGAATCTAAGGGGTGTCCAATCGGTCCGAAGTTAGTATACAAAAGGGCGCCGCGCTTTGCCGGTGGTCGTTAGGGAGCACCAGTCATTGCGCAATTTATGCAGTTACACTATGATAGTGACCGGGAATGTGACATGCTAAAAATATTTATCAATAACAATGTATATTGTACACAAGTTAAATATTAACACTAAATTTGAACATTGTAACTTTCGGTCTAATGGATAAGTTTCTGCCTTTTGAAGTATTTATAGTTTTTTTGTGACAAATTTCTTACAAATAAATCATCTCGGATATTCAACATATTCACCAATTAGCTCTTAGGCTAATAATAATGGTACATCTGTCTCTTTTTTTCTTTCGTCATGAAAATGTCATAAATAAGGCAGTGTGTTTAGACCGCGTCTTTTAATGTTGCAGTGGACGAATCAGAAATAACATTCGACCCGGGCGACATCATCACACACATTGAGCAGATAGATGCCGGTTGGTGGCAAGGCCTTGGACCGAGAGGGGTATTCGGTCTATTCCCCGCTAACTATGTGGAATTACTACCCTGCCATCCCCGCTAGCAGCAGCAGCTTGAAGATAAAAATACACAGTATCAGCAATTTTGAATAATTTCCACATCAGCGCTGTGATTACAGCTCACGGCTAAACTACGAGACTTTAATTAGCTTTTAACTAAGCACTTATATACATACCAGTAAGACCTGGTGCTCAAATGAACTTAATTCCAGTTAACGCTATTTGATGTCTCTAACTGGCGGCTGTTAGTATCTAATCACGAAGAAGCATCATGTGGAACAAAGCTGCCAAATGCTTCACTGTTCCATGATCTCAGTTTCAGAGTCATTTATGTCACAATATTCTGGTCTGTGGGAAAATGCTTTGCCTTGGTTTGTAATCTTTTAAGTATTTTGCATAATGAAGCAGTTCTTGTTCTGCTTTGTAATAATGATAATGAATAACAGGACATCATATATTTAAAGGCACTTATTTATCTTCCTTCTCTACTTGTTCACTCATACATTTATGTGTATTGATTGTTTAAGCTTTAAAAATGTTTAAAAGAACTTTTAGTATTTCAACCAAATTTATTCATAATACTATCACAATATACTGAATTCATTTTATATTTCAGTCATGATTGTTAAAATTTGTTATCAGTATTAACACATTTAGACAAAATTTAATTCTTCATTTTATACTATTTAAGTTTTTTTTTGTATAATTTATGGTATATTTGGATTTATGAGTGATGAGGAACTTTTTTTTTTCTTATCTTAACCTGTTATTTTCATTCACTGTGTAAGAACAAATGTGTTGTGAGTATGCAGACTATGAATTTTTTGGGAACAATAATAATTAATGTTCATAAAAAATAATTTCATTTAATAAAAAAAACAGATGCAATGTTATTTTTGTGCAAAACACTATTATTCATTAATTCTATTATTCAATTCTTTACTAATAATTCTATTTATATCACCTTAAGCAAATCATGTAGGAGCTATTTCAGTATATATATTCCGGTTTTCACATTTGATAACTGTCTTATTGTCTATGTGCAAGAATTTTTATTGAGGCACAATAGTATCAGAGTAAACATACTAAAAGGAAAGTATTTCAAACATATTTTGCTGTAGAAAACTGATAGTGTGAAAGCAGCTTAAGCTTGGTATATCATGTTAATTAAAATATGCTTTATGTAATCATTCAAATTTAATGTAATAAGCAATCAGTCTAGTTTCCTATACTAGGATAAGATTTTATTAAAGACTTAATATGTGCAAGGAACGGATTCACTTAGACCAGTGATTCTCAACCTTTTTTTTGTTGCGGCACATATTAAACGATTTCAAAATTTGGCGGCACACAAAGAAAAAGATAAAAATTATTTACTTACTACAACACACTGCATAAATAGTTTATGACAAAAATTTTAAATATACGAAATAAACTAATATATATTACAATAATAACTAAACGTTTATTAAGGGATTAATTACAAGCTTAATAATAAAAATATTTTTAATGCAAAATTTGAGCTTGATGTTTTTTGATAATTTCATTTATATTTGGTCGTAAAAATGACAATGCTACTCTCATATCGTCGTCTACATTTAACAATCTTGATCTTTTTTTAGTTTTAATGTTGGCTAATGCCAAAAAATATTTTTCTTTTTAAATGATCTAATTTAATAATATTAACATTATTATATATTTGCAAATTTGGCGGCACACTTTTGAAATTTGGCGGCACACAAAAGGGCCGCGGCACAGTGGTTGAGAATCACTGACTTAGGCTTTTGTGCATTTAATTTTGATTATTTCATAAGTACTTATGTTAATAGTTATTGATAAATTATGACTACTGCCATTTTGGGCTGGGATTGATTTTATATATTCGAACTAAATAATAGGTGTTTTCTTTATAACACAAATTATACTCTTGGTAATTTTTAATCCTTCAATAAAAAAAAAAAAAACTGTGTTTTCACACTTCTGCTATAACTTCTTACAAAAAAAGAAATATTCTATGTAAATCAATTTCTGGTGATTGGGATGGGATTAACAGGAAATTTCTTAAGTAAGTGGAAGACTGATTCGTTAATTTCAATTTCAGCCTTAGTCAAAAATTAAGTGATAAATTTTATTAGAACAAGTGTTAATTGATTTTAGCTTTATTTACGTAGTGGTTTCTTATATATTTATATAAATACTATTTCTACGGATTTTATTATTTTTAATACAATGATTTAGTTTTAATTCTCTTCTTTTGTAAGTTAAGTTATTTACATTTTGAATTTGTAATATTATGGAATGTGGAATAGCTAGCTAATGCTAGGCGAGCATAGGATGGACTTTACCCTGGACGTAAACAATATTAAATATTTGTAAATGGCGACTTTTTAAATAGGTAAGGTGGTTAATTAGTGGTGTGCATCAACTTTACAAGTCCAAATGGTAGTTTTGTAGGCGAATTGCATGTTATGCAAATACCTTACTAACCTCGTGACCGTGTCTTAGTAGTTTAAATCCCGTTTTGTACCGTTTTATACTTAGTAGACTAGATGATTTTGATAGCTGTAATCGTAAATATTATCGGCTTGAAATGAACTATTAAAATTTTGTGCATAAGGTCATATATCCAACTATATAAAAATATATGTGTATAGCCCCAATAATAGCATATTTTTATTCAAAATGATTATTGCAAAATGTAACCCTGGCCTCATAAAATAGCTGTTCCTGAATGTAATGTAAAATAATATATTGACACATCATAAAATGAAATAAAGCATACTTTCCCTGCTCCCATATCTGATGATGGTATATGAATTTCTGTGCCTTAGAAACACACAAAGGGAACTAAATACCAGATGTCAATAACTTCTGTTATTAATAAGTTTTGTATCCATAAACATATTAGAGTGCAATACCTTTTAATATTCATAATAATGATAGTTTTTTTCAAATCATGTTACATGTACATGTTAGGAATACTAGCAAACGAAAATAAAGTAAGGGTATCGAAATACTTGAGATCTAGCGCTGGTTAATACTTGTCACACACTTGTCAAATATTACGATTATGTAACATATTGCACACCCATTTATAGTTGATCATCTTGCTAAGTATATTCTCATTAACCAAGTATATTCTTACTAGGCGATTGTACAGCGTTTATTTTATTTACTTATTCGCAATCACAACAAAATTGCTTGTTAATTATGTAAATTACTGAAGTTTTTTATTGTTTATTTACTATGTTCTGAATATTCAAATAAACTATTTTATCAGCTAGTCTTATGTAGTGAATGCAATAGGGTTGTTACGAATGATTGTAAAGTGAATTATCAATTTGCGCAGTCAACAACGATACATTTTTAATGTAATTACTTAAATTGGTGGCTGCAATTTTTGCAAAAAATATATTTCATTTTCTTTACAACCCTAATATATGTTACGCATTTGTAATTTGTCACTTCTATATTCTAATCAGATGACACTAATGAATGAATTGTTAAGTTTAATGAGTAAACATCCTAATTGTGTAGTTAATGTTTTCTTTATTGTTATATCTATATAAAACAAGTAGTAACAACATTTTTATGAATAAACTTGTATGATCTATTGTATTTGTAATAAGCTTCCTCATAATACCCATCATTGATTGTATATCATTTGTTTCTAAGTTCTTCTACTACATTTATTTAGGGTTGACAACTTGAAGAAATGAACCATTTTGTTGTATTACGAAAACATTATATGATGCAATATGCCCCAAGTTCAAAGACTAAACTTTGCCTTTGTTTAATTCTTTAACAATGTTAATGCAAATAAAAATATTTGTAGTGAAACATATATCATTATTATGAGAATCTTGAACCTTTAACATGACTACATTGGAAAATATGAAATGTGTAATATATTTAGAGGTCATTACATTAAACATAACGATTACATTAAAAATTCTTTGTCATTCAGTTTTCACTACAAATATCATAGCCTAACATTTTATATGATAGTGAAATATTTGAACATTTCAGTTTGTAAGATGTATTGTGTATCCCATGCAAGGTATGAAAGTCCCATTGCAAGATTTATTATGTGTATGGTGCTCCAATGTAACATAGGTGTACATTTGTATCCGACTATTTTCGAAATAAAGTCCTAGTATCAAACCTTGGTAGTTCATTTCCAAATATCTTGTATTTGGAACTTGTCTGTCTTAGTTCAATAAATTTTTTACCATTGGTAAAGAATAGCCAGGATTGTGCATAACGATTGGGTGACGAATGTAAATAAAAAAACAATTAAAAAATACATAATACTTATTATCAATTTATAACTAATGTTGACAATTTTCAAACAAACAAAAAACATCAGCATTTGTACTCTATACAATAATATTTGAGAACACTCCATGCTTCGGCATCGATATTTTATTCGCGACGTCTGGTACAACCTAAAACAAAAAGTGGCTGTTAAACTTTGTATTTTAGGAGATTGCTAGATATTATATACATATGTATGCATACAGAGGATCACTCAGTTTCAATATTATAGAACAAATTATGTTCAGTTTGAGAATGAAACAGGATTTGTAGCCAAAACTTAACATACCATCTTACATTTGGCCCCCTCTCTATAGAGTTTATTAGTTCTCAGTCCAGAAATATCACGGCTGTCCAGAAATTCAGCATTTGTGATATCATACATGTAATTTTATTTAACAATGAACACAAAACCAAATAAACTTAAATTTTCAGACCTTATGTATGTTTTATCTAAAATACTATATGTTATTAACACATTATATACATATATACATATATATAAACATTTCAAAGATTTATGTGAAATCTGCCAAACCGCGTTGGACTCGCGTGTAGGACTACGGCCTCTGTGCAGAGGGTATTAGGCTATATGCGAAAAAACCCCACGCTACGTGTAACATAAACTCACAAGTGAATTCACCCCAACCGTGCGTGACACACTATTAGTACACAAACAGAAACTAGCTGTTCTATGGTCTTAAAAGTTGCTGGCATGGGCACTTTTGAACATAGGCCTCCCCTACAGACTGCCACAAAGCACGATAAAACATCCTTACAATGCAGGATGTTACCCTACAGTAAGAGGCAATGTTTTCGAAGGGACATAGAATAGATCTTTTAGGTTGCTGTGGTCATTGGGAGTCCACACAAAAATACAAATACAATACTAGATAGTGTTGCACAACCATCGATAGTTTGACTATCGATAACTATTCAGGATATCAATTACTGATTGATACTATCGCATGCATTACTGTCGATACTATCGATAGAATTGCTGTTATCAATAGTATTGGAACTTGAAAAGTCATTGATACTATCGGTAGTATCGACACGTGACAATACTATCGATACTATTGCTTTTAGCTTAACTATCAATAGATAATCGATTGTCTATCGATAGCATACTATCGATATGCAACACTAATACTAGACGAACTAAAAAATGACAAAAAAGAGGATACCTACGGAGTTTCTTCTCCGTTAGAGGAACCTCATTACGAAACGGTGGTAGATTTAAAAAGTGACTATCGATAGATGAAATGTATATATATATATTACTTATTTCGATGAATAAATGATTTGATTTGGTAGAAGCTCACCTTGACGCGAATCTCCCTCGGCATGAACTCGTGGAAGAACTGATAGAAGTCGAGGTGGGTGGCGACTATCCCAAGCCGCGCCATCTCTCGTTTGAGCGCCTCAACGGAGTTGGCGTCGGCGACTTTCCGCCTGCGCGCCTCCTTGGCGAACTCGTACAGCCCCTCGGCCAACTTCTCCGCGCGGACACGCGCCTTATAGTCGTATCTGGGGATGAGCATACTGTTACAGTGCACCGTTTAAATCATCATTGTGCTCCTGCCCTCTTCCCAGCTAGGCGGGGTCGGCAAATGTGAATCATGTTGTAAGCGGCTATGTCTTTTGCGACCGGCCGCCTGCCCGACACACTGGAAACCAACACACAGATCCGGAAATTATTTGTGGGTCACATAAAAACTGGTCCCGTGTAGGAATCGAAACCACGACTCGCGACTTCGAAGCCAATAATTAGCAACGGCACCCCGAAGTCCATCATAGCGGACATTTAAAATGTCCATTTTAAAATGAAAAGACTAAGATTGAACACTTCTTTATTCAGAAGGCATGCAAAGGCCTCCTCTGTGAAAAGGATATTAGGTTATAGTCCACGACAACAATGCGGATTGTCTTCTCACTTTACTCACTTCGGCTCCAACTTGGCCTCCAGGTAATTGTAGAGCCTCTTGGTGATCCAGGACGCGTTTGCGGGCCTGTAGCGTCGCGGCGGTTTGTAATTTAGATCCTCCAGGAATTCCGGGGGTAAGTTCTCGACCCCCAGAAGAGTCCGCTTGATCGTTCTGACTTTGGGCTTAGCGGGACCGGATTTTACGCGGCGGAGGGCGTTTGGTGTTCGAGGCACTTTGAAGGGGTCCAAAGATTCCCGCGGCGTCGCTTTCAAAGAGGTCTCGATCTTTGCCACCTGTAAAGGTTATTTATTTATTTATTTAGAAAACCTACACTATCATTACAGGTACTCAAAGATTACAAGGAAACGAAAAAATATAAATTACTTATTGACAATGAAGTCTTTGTGAAGTCACTCAGAGAACGCAAGAATATGATATATCCGATTCACCTGATGGTAATTCACTAGTTCATTATTTTCACCACCACGCGTGTCCTCAACCCGCGGTGCTACCAACCATTTAGAATGCAGCCTGAGGGTTCGCTTTAAATTTCCTTCTGATTATAAAGCATCTTCAAGACGAGAGCTTAGAGAACTGCACCACAACGTACCATTCCACTTGGTAAGTGGAATGGTAGTTGAGCAGAAAGTACGAGTCTCATATTAAGGGTTAATAAATAAGTGGTATGCTATGTGTTTGGTCAAGGGTAGTCGTGAGTTCGGTTATAGTATTTGCTATAGTTTTTCTGACTATTATTGTATTGTAGATTGCAGCTTATGATTGTTGAAAACTGATTTACGATAACTTAAAATTTTTAAATTAATCGTTGAAAAGTTTTTCTCCGCTGCCAGGAATTTTTATAATAGCGTTAATAAGCTTGATGTTTTTTATTTCGTTTTTCCAAGATTTTCCACGATTTCCCGCCTATTAATGCACAGAAGCTACTGTGATTAAATACCACACAAAATAAAGCCACCTTTATCGCATCCTCGAATTCTATTATGTACTTACCGCTTGACGTCGATTTTCTAGATTTTTTTGTTTCAGCGTCTGCAGACACAGCTCTAAAGCGCTCCTTCGCCTTTTTCTAGAATCGTCATGGTTCGATTCCTTGGTCATGTTTGACGGTTGCCCTTGTGCACTAATGTTCGAGTATCTTTTTTCAGACGCGTTTATTGCAGATATGTGCGAATCTAGGTTTTCTTCCTCGCCGCTTTGATCACTTTCTTGGATATCATGAGAGTCTCTCCTATCTTCATCGCTTTCCGCACCCTCTATATCGCTAGAATCGGCCCCGTCTTCGTCGCTTAACACACCTTCATTCATATTTTGAGAATCTCCTCCCTCATCACCACTCTTCTCACCTTCAATATCTCTAGAATCTTCCCGTTCTGAAGCACTTTCCTGATCTTGAACATCATTTGAATATGTTCTTCCATCATCGCTTTCGTCAACTTCACCAAGGCCATGAGAATCTCTCCTATCGTCTATAGTTTCCCCACCTTCGTCAACATCGTCCTGTGGCAACTTCTCACGCGCATCACTATCCATCGAATACCTCTGTTTCGATGCGTCATGGCTCGAACTGTGAGAAAACCTGTTTACTTCATTCGCTTCCGTCACTTTGTCATTTGTCTTACGGTTTGCCGTTTCTTCACGCAGTTCACTCCGGGGATCGATGACGTCATCGACCTTCGCGGATTCTACATGCATGCTCTCCGGCAGTCTGGTGGAGGATGCTTGGGGCGTCTTCGCTGTCGCGTTAAAGGCATGTGTGTGTCTCTTTGCTGATTTCTCCATTACGAGGGCACGTAGAGACTTCCTCGGCGTGAAATCCTTCCCGAACGTTTGGCGGAGAGTCTTCCTTGTGGTCCTGTGGGAATCCCAGCCGGAGCGTTCCGCGCTAGAGTCCCTCGTCCCGTCGGGGATTCCGGTGCTCTCTCTCAGGGGAGCCAGACTCGGCCTCGGTTCGTTCATTCTGATGACGCTCCGTGTCTTCCTTGAGCTCATCTCGCGACCCCCAGCCGAGAAGGACTGCATATCGTTCGCCACGTAATTCAACACTTCTTCCGGAGATTTCATCACGAGCTCGATGCGTCCCCTACTTTTAACGGAGGTGTCGTGCTTAGAGCTGTGTTTGTCTTGCGCGTTGTCCCGTATCGTTCTATCGTGAACTGTGGCATCTTCACTGCGCAAATTAACTGAAATCTCGCGACTGACGGTTTTGTTGTCGCGCTTACTTTTATCTTGATTGTTATCCGAAACAACTGGATTATGATTATTTTTTTCGTCACAACCATCATTCTGTTGGTCTTGATTATCAACGCCAAATTCATTTTCCTCGTCACTGACGGGGTTACTGTCTTCGATTATCCTCTCCTCATCGTTGGAAACATTTTTAAGTTGTTCACCAGATTCCTCTTGAATATTTTCGTCTTCGTTGTCTTGTTCATCTTCGTCCTGGTTATCATAATTCTCTCCCGATTCATACTCCTCTTCAATATCTTCCTCGCCGTCATGTTTTTCTTCATTCTGTACATTTTCTTCACCATTTTCAGCAATCTTTTGGCTTATTTCATTATCACCACTTATATGTTCGTAAGCATCAAATTTTTTTGAATCACCTTGTTCTATGCGAAGATTCATTGAAATATTTTCATTTTCTTGTTTCTCAGAATCTCTGTTCCCGCTATCAGCAACATCAACTCCATTAACTAAGGAATTGATCGGATGAATATTAATTTCGGTTAGGTTTTCAATTTGTGGATTTTCCTCGGTTGTCTTATTTTCAAGCGTTTTTCGCGAAACTTTTAGACTCGAATTACTATTTCGTACCACGTCGGAATTATTTTTGGTTGAAACATCTATTGTTCGGTCAAAACTTTTGTTTTCAATTTTGCTGTTCATACTGTTTTTAGCCTTATTATCTCCAAGTTGTTCTTTATTGTTAGAAAGATGTGACAAATTGTTTTTCACAAAACTTTTATTCTTAATCTGCACTTCTGCTTCATTCGTATCAATATAACTTGATTGCAACGCCCGGGTAGCTTTTGGGGAAGGAATAGGGGTGTTAGTCTTTAGTAAAGATTTATTCCTAAGTATTATGCTATTATTTCCACTTCCATCTCTTTTATTACCACTGTTTTCTTTGAGAGTAACATTATTTTTATCATTAACATTGTTGGAGTCATTTTTTTCATCATCACTTTCATATCTTCTGGTATCTATCAATTTGCTTGGTTCCACTTCTAAAATTCCAGGGCTTGAAGATTTTTCTTTTTGTTCATTTTGCTTATTTCCAATTGTATTCTGTTCGGTATCACTTTTTTCTTTGTCAATTACATCATCTTCGGAAAGTGGCGATTCAAAGAATTCCTCACCATTTCTAAACTTAGACGTTTTCGATACACTCTTCCTTGCTATGGACTTGCTCGTTTGATTAGTTTTATTCCTTGTTATATCATTGCTTTCTTTAGCAGTTTCAACTGTTTCGTTGAGCTTGCTTAATCTAGCCTTTTTAACTGGAGTATGGCTTTCAATATGGCCAAAGTGATTTTCAACCATGGTTGATGAAGGCAGTAGTTTCCAATCGTCCATTTCTATATCGGTTACATCGGAAGTAGGAGATGTTTCTCGAACACGTTGTGAAGAGGAAACTCTAAGTCTTTGTTGTTCACTGTTTTTCGCGAATCCGAACACTTTGGGTTGAATGTCTGAAATTTCGTCTTCGCTTTCCGATACAATGAATTCGGCGAACATATTCTTTCTTTTAGCCGCCGGTCGGTTTCCGAATAGGTTGCGTACTTGGCCTTGTTTCGAGATGTCTTTATCCCTTTTATTCGATACCGTTTTATTTGCGGATATATTGAGGAGAGCCGTTGGGAATGCGGGTTTGGTTCGTTCCCTATTACCTCTGTTAAATAGATCTTTTTTCCCAACATTAACAGTATTATCATAGTTAATTTTGCTTCTGTGCAATTGGGGCAAGTTTTCTCTGTTTTCCATGTCTATGTGCTTGAACACTTTTAGCGCTTGATCTTTATGTGTGAACAGTTTTCGCTGTGGAATAACAATACTACTTATTGATTCACCATCACTACTTTCTGGTAGATCAATTGTGTAATTTTTTTTCTCCTGGCTGAAAAAAAATTGTCAGAAATGAGATACCATGTTTAAAAAAAGGAAAATTAATATCAAACATCACTCTCTACTCATACTTATAATATTTCCCAGTGTTTGAACACTCATAATATAAAGTAAGAAATAGATATCTTGATGTGTACAAATATGTATGATATTAAGGAGGATTATGTTCTGGTCTGCTCAACTTCAAAAGAAAAATAAACTAAAATATACATATGACTATGTATCACTTGCAATTTGATAAACTGTATTAATTCATGAGATGTATTTATTTATTTTGTGAATAAATTAAAATGTATTTACACAATTAGCTATGAAATTTTTAGACCAGAATATATGTTTATAATAACAAACAATAGGCGCACTCACACCTACACTTCATAAATGTATTATTTTTAATAAAATGGTATTAGATGCGCATGAATACCTTAAAATATCAGCATCAATAAGTTCCTCTACATTTTCAGCCTGCCCTTGTTCTTCACTCTCCATAAATTCCATCACATCCCTTGAGCTTCCTTCCAATCCCTTCCACCAACTTTTACCTGCAATTTTTATTACATATGTCATGAAGTATTTGATATGTACATATATCATGTGCTAGCCATCTAGACTAGCATAGTCTAGATGGCTATGCACTATGACTTAATAAAATTTCATAACAAAAGACAGGCAAAAAAGATTTGTGATGTACTTACGTCCAGGCACTTCAATATCTGTTTTATCTGATAGTACAGACCTCCTGGTATGAAGAGGTGATAATATAAAGGAATCCATTTTATGTTCTTGCACCAAGGTTGATAGTTTAGCTGAAGTGTTTGATCGAGCTGGGGACCCAACACTGCGAGATGCTCTGAACCTGTGCCGTCTCGGTGTACTTATGACACCTTGAGAATGAGCAGGGGACGGTATTCTTGTACTAGACATATTGAATCAAGGAACTGAAACAATGCAATGAAGAATTGAAAGAAAATTTGGTAATAATTTTCATTAGGGGCACATTAAATTGCAAGGTTTCATTTTTTTCGCAAAATGTTTACCTACATATTTGATACATAATATTTGAAGAGAAATATAACTAACGAAACAATATTTACGAATAGAAAATTATCGCCGAATTTAAGATCCTTTCATAATGTGCCTTGAGGGTTCTTTAGTAAATAAAAATGCACATTTAAGAGCCTAACCTGTCAGTTTCTAATATTTTTTTTTATGTGACAAGTTGCCAAACGAGCAGGCGGTTAACCTGATGTTAAGTGAATACCGCCGCCCATGGATATCTGCTGAAGATTGGGCTCCGGCTACCTCACTCACCCGACAAAACGCAAAATATTTACTCATTATACATTTTATATTTGATTTTGAGGAGTCTTCTGAAGCATCTCCAGGGTATAAGGACCAAGACCAATGCCACTCAAATTACTCTCCCAGATTGGAGATATGCCGAATCCAAAGCAAAAAGAATTTTTAAAATCTATTCATAAATGATGAAGTTCTGACGCAGGCAACAAACGTAAATTTATTAATTTTAGGCAGTTGTTCATGGGTATGTATACCAAAAGAACCCAATTTAATGATCATAACGATATAACATCATTAAATTTGCTTATAACCAATAAAAATATTTGATAAACAAACCAGAATAACCACAACACCACAACCTGACCATTAAAAAAAGTACTTTTTTATTGGTTTCAGATCATAACAGGAAATATTTGTTTCTTTTTCAATAGTATCAACAAATGTATTTTAAAAATCACATTCATTTTAGCTGTAAACTGTTTTAATACCGTTTAGAAATTATTTCGTAAGATATTGAACTTCAGACAGACACTTAAGTTCATTTCTTCACGATCTTGAGCATTGTTAATAATTTTTTTGAGCACAATATTAATGAGATTAGAAAACTAGAAATTACAAATAAAAACAATTCAAATCAATCAAAAGTTAAAAGTAAACTAATTGTCAAATCAACAAAACCGTTTCGTTCAAATCATCCATTTTTAAAATATTATGATCTATGTACAACGTTCCTTTTCTCCAAGTAAACAAATATTAATGTCTCGATAAAAAAAATTGAAATAGTTTAATTTTCAAGGAAGAAATAAAATCATAAAATGTAGTAATAAAGGTTTTAATATATTTGATTTATTTAATACCCACTTTACGTGTGCAAATCTGGTAAAGTCCGAAAGCTGTTTATTCAGCCCAGCTAGTTGGGGGGAGCAAAGCTGATATTTTTGAACTAGTATTTATCTAAAAAAAATGTTGTATTTCAAGCATGACAAAAAAGTTTTTATCGTAATCTAGCATTTCAATTTCGCTCATTTCTTAACAGTATGAGTATTCATCACTGTTATCATAATCGACATGACTGCTGCTTTGATTTCTGTTATAAAAAAAGACTAGGTATTTAAGTATGTCTGTGTTCAAAATATTCCACCAACTGTTATTTAAAAGAAAAATAAGAATTTTATAACCTGTGTGTTATAATAAAAATAAAGTTAAACTGCCACTACTAAAGTGTCTATTATTTCTATTTGTAAAACATAACAAAAATGTGTCATAAAAAGTTTTATAAAGCAAAATAATTAATTTTAATTGCAAGTAGTACTTTTCAAAAATGACCAAATTGACAGATCAGGATCATATTTTGAAGTCATAGACCTTTCTATTCGCTAATATACAAACATTATCAGACCTATGTAATTATTTAAAACCTATTAATTTATTTTTAATAACGCATTAAAAATGCGGTGTCATTAAAATTTAAATTACTACCAAAATTATAAGAATGCAACAACATCAGAAGGGAACTAAAAAAACCTTTAAAAAAAAGAAGAAATAAATAGTCTATACTAACACAAAATCACAAAATATAGCAAAATGATTAAAATATGATTTAAAAATCGCATATGTACTAACTTAATAGTTTAAATATTTAAAATTAGAATTTACGGTTAAAAGTTAAATTAATATTTTGTTCCTTTTTTGTATCGATTGTGACGTAAGAGATGGTATATAATTTAACCTGCAAAAGCATGTGGTTTAAATTCCTATTATGTTCCTGTTGCAGCATGGGCTGCAGCAGCAGCATGGGCTGTTGCACGAATGGGCAGGTTCGTCCGGGTAAGTACCACGACCTCAGAGAAGACCGGCATAAAGTGGAAGTATAATACTTTCGCGTTTCGTCTGGTGAGTGTGGTGGCCGGAGCCCAATTTTCTGCAACCCTCGGATGTAGCAGATGTCTATGGGCGGTAGTATTCACTTAACATGAGGTGAACCGTCAGCTCGCTTGGCAACTTTTCACATAAAAAAGATGTTATGTTTTACGTGACAAGATGGAAAGCGAGCTAAGGTTCTTGTTTCGTGACAGTCTATGGGGAGGCTTTTGTTCAGCAGTGGAATTGAACAAACTAAAATGATGATGGTAATGATTCAACGGTCCTCCATTCGCGACCTACACACAATACCCTCGTGTTCTCGGCCGCTACTGAATCGATAACCTGTTGTTATTGTTTTATTTAATAGCGAGTATACTCGTACATGGGCCGTGATAACTCACTGTCCAGTATTTTTTTTTAATTGCTAATTAGATATTATAGATTAGATCACAATCTCAACATTATTCCTTCCGCTGGGTAGTCGCCACTATCGATTGCGATCAAGGCAATCATTTAACATCCGACGGGTCTTCGGATCGTGTCGTGTCTTCTCTCCTGTTAGTTGGTTCTCCATATCTCTTTAACAGGATTTTGCGGAGTTGCAGCGGAGCGGACGGCACCGTGGCGTTGTCGGGAACCAGCTATATTGTTCTCCCGAAACCTCTTGCTATTCCTGAAAAAGTGCTGATAAAAATGAGGCAAATTCAATATGGCTAATGAACTCAGTCTATTCTTCTGTGGAATGCTCTCCCCTTGATTGAAATCAGGTTGGCTAAAGCTCGTGAACATATTTTCCAAAACAACATCGGTAGATCAATTCCATCGTTATGTTTAGAGTATATTTATATATATATATATGTGTGTGTGTATGTATATGTAATTATTTACGTATGTGACTATGTATTACGTATATTTTGTAGTATATTTCTTATGTTATATTTAGTTGTATTTAACATATGCATATATTACATAGTTTGTAGCGTACCTGTTGGAAATTCTCTGTGCACCTTTTCTCTGTACCACCCCAAGTTGACTGGGAGATAATGCTTTTATTAAGTCCGCCATTGTGCTATTTGTGCATAAAGGGTAAATAAATAAATAAATAAACTTATGTTTACATTAAAAAAAATCCGTATCTGTATCCGTATCTGATACATTTTTGACGGATCTTTTACGAATCTCTACCCTTATAATCGTAACTAAATGATAATTTTAATTAAATAAATTAATAAACTGTGACACTCAAAATGTTTACTTTAGATTATAAGCTTTATCTCTCAAAAGTCATGATAAAAGATGTGCGAGCGTTATGACTGACACCCCCAAACTTTTTTTGTTAATCTGCTAATAGTTTACTGGATCTTGGTCTCTTGATAATCGGATTACGGTGGCAGGGCGAACAGTGTTCGCTGTTGCACGAATGGGCAGGTCCATCCGGGTTCGTACCACGACCTTACAAAAGACCGGTGCGAACTAGAAGTGTTGCATTTCTCCGTTTCGTCTGGTGAAGTAGCTGGGGCCCACTTTATAAAGAGGTAGCAACGCATCTGGAACCCCACGGGTCCATTGGCAGACGGTTATCACTTAACATCAAGTGAACCGCCAGCTCGTTTGCCACTTTCTCATATAAAAAAAAGTATTTTTTCAGACATATGCTGTACGAGCAAATTAGTTTTCGTATGTAATATTTTCTTTTCAGTTTGCTCATCATTATCATCACTATCATGTTAGCCATAGACTCTTCGAGACTCTGGCAAAAAATCATTGGTACTTAGTTATTGCAGTTTTTGTGACATTTACTTCATTTTTTCCAAAGTTCTAAGCATATTTTTTTATTCTTTTGAGCGTGGGTTTAAGAATGTGGATATTTGAAAAAGTTTTATTTATAAATTTTTGAAAAATGAAATCTAATTCATCCTTTGAATCAGACAAAAATTAGCTATGGTGGATAACTAATATTGAGATTTTCCTCCAGAAAGCAAATTAAATATCCATTAAGTTAAGATCCGTATCCGTATCTGTATCCGCGGATTTTGACGCCAATAATGCGTATCCGGATCCGTATTCGCGGATCTACACTTTTAATAATCAGGCACATTACTACGAAAATCGTTTTCTAAGAAGCATATAATTAGTGAATTTCTATATACTTACATAAAAAATTAATCTATGGAATAAACTCTATTTGTAACGAGATAAAATAGCGAATTAATTAGGATCGTTTGCATCGTTATTAAGTCAATCGAGATTCCTAACGACGCCTATTTTTAAGTTATCGAGTTTCTTAATTGAGCCTCAATTAAAGCCTTGATCAAGTTTTGTAATATGACACTGACTGTTACTGAAAAGTTTAAACGAAAGAAGATGCTACCATTATGCACGTATTGTGGCTATTATTATAAATCTAGCGATGGTGCATAACATATGAATATATTTTTTTTATGTGAGAAAGTGGCAAACGAGCTGGCGGTTCACCTGATGTTAAGTAATAATAATAATAATAATAAACGCAGAAGTGCCCATTCGTGCAACAGTGTTGTATGGCCCTACCCACATGTTTTGGAATAGTAGTTTGAGAAATTATGTACTTTTTTTACACTGCTTGCAACAGTATTTTTAGGTTTCCGTACCCAAAGGGTAAAATGGGACCCTGTCACCAGGCCGTATCTCATGAAAAGTGATAATGAGACTGTTGAAATTTTCACAGATGATGCATTTCTGTTGCCGCTATAACAACAAATAGTAAAAAACAGAATAAAAAA